CTTACTTACTTACTTACTTACTTACTTACTTACTTACTTACTTACTTACTTACTTACTTACTTACTTACTTACTTACTTACTTACTTACTTACTTAAATCCAGAGTTTTTTTTTGTAGGTACAGGATTTGTCCAATATAAAAAACATAAAAAATGTTGTGATTCAGTTCAACAACACACACTATAACACAGTTTTATTTTAGAAAGTTCTGTTCTTCACATTAAACACAGCCAAAGTATTTTTTTCTGGTAACATTACAAGCAATGTATAATTTTATATTAGAATGACTAGTGTACATAATGACAATTTTGTTTGACTTACACAAGTGGAAGCAGGAGTACACAGGAAGACTACATTCTGTGTAGAAGAATTAACCTGAGGGAGATTGGGAACTGTGAGWTTGTGACAGGGAAGACACCAGGCAGGATCGGATGGTGCCTGTAGTGGTGAAGAAGAGGAAAAGAGGAAAATAAAAGAAAAAGACAAAAAAGGAAGGTAGAATCATGTTAGGACTTCAGGGAGGAGCGAATAAAGACTCTTGTTAATGAAGAACTTCCAGATGACTGGKTTACTACAGCAAAAGTAATTAAAGACAGATAGGAAGGGACTTGATGTGTCATACTGACAGAAAAAAAATATAGAAAGCTGATGGAAGGCAGAATARTAGCTGAGTTGGTAGAGCTGTCGCCTCTCAGCAGAAAGGTTACTGGATCAAATCCCAGCCTAGGACTTTTCTGGGTAGAGTTTACATGTTCTCTCTGTGCATATGTGGGTTTTCTTTCTACCACAAACGWAAAACATGACTGGTATTTGGTGACTCTAAATTGTCCCTATTGTGAGTGCGAGAGTGAATCATTGTTTGCCTAGTTCGTCTCTATATAGCCCTGTCTGGGATGGACTTTTGACCTGTCCAGGGTGTCCCTCGCCTCTCACACAGTGACTGCTGGACATGGGCACCAGTGACTCCTGAGACACTGAAAGGAAGAAGCTGGTTAAAACAATGGATGGATAGAAACCTGGTGGTGGAATAGTGAAGTGYAGGAAGTTATCCAGAGGAAGAAGTTAGTCAAGACAAAATAGGACAGTGAGAGGACTAAAAAGAATGGACAAGAATAGAGAGACATGAAATGTAAGTCAAAGAGGGAGGTAAAAATGCATCAAAGAGTGTGTACCTAACCTGCGACAAATCTTTTCCAGCCTGATCCTTCTTTCTCTCACCAGTTGATACAAGTCCAACACGTTAGGCTTGTTAAAGATAGAAATGATATTCTARCAAGTGAGGAGAGTGAGGTGAAATTGGAAGGTTTATTTTTTAGAAGCTAATAAATTGTTAAAGAAAATGAAAGGGAAAGAARAGTAAAACTCATAAACTTGTGGACCAGAAAATGGGACAGATCAATGAGGATGAAATTGGAATGCATGGAAGAGAATGAAAAGTCTGACCTGATGACACACAGTACCAGTAGCAGTAAGGAAATGTCTAGGTGAGATAGCAGTAATATTTTTGATCTGATAATTCAATTGCATTTTTGAGAGTGAGAAAATGCCTGAGGAATGAAGAAGTGTGCTGGTGTCATTTTTTTTAAGAACAGGGGTGATGGATAGAGTTGTAGCAATTACAAGGTAATTAAGTTCACACACGCACAATGAAAATCTGAAAAAGTGTTTTGGAAGATGGAGTTAAACAAAAGGTGACTCTTTTTGTGAAAAGTAGTATGGTTTTTTTGAGAGATGCCATCTTTGAGAATGCTGATGGAGAAGTACAGAAATGGTCAGAAATAATTTGATTTTTTTCCTTGTGGATTTAAAAAAGCATATGACAAGGTGCAGAGGGARGAGTTATGGTGTTGTATGAAGAAATCTGGAACGGCAGAGGAGTAGGTTAGATTGGTACAGGGCATGCATAAAAGAATCAGCTATGAACCTCTTCTTGTTTGCTCTGGTGATGGACAGACCAGTGCTTTAAGTGGGCCGGTGTTGTAYGAAATTCAGTGCCCCTGTGAAAATGTCTTCCCCCTGTGTTGGGAGAGCCTCCCTCATATTAAC